TTCTGTATGAAGTGCCTGCAAAAGTAATCAACGGTTGTTAAATGATTTGAGTTTCAGCAACTTATTTTAACATTTATGACATAAAATGGTGCTAGAAGGTTGCAATTGTGTATCAATAAATATCCATAGCAAATGTTTTTTGCATAAATAAGATTTTGTAGCAGAGTCTGTCATTTTATAGTCAATAAGATGCCAAAGTTTTCATCCTGTGTTTCCCTCCAGGCAACACTCATCAATAATCTGCTGAGATATGTAACTGTTGATTAGGTTTTTTAAATTAGGAATACTTTCTCAGTGGAACCAGAAAAAGAAGTCATGTAGCAAATCAGTAGAAATGACCTTTTGCTGAAGATGACAAACGACATCTTAGACCTCAGAGCTACAAACTAACCTGTTACAGTGCTGAGTGACACGCATAGGAAAAAAGCCAATCTGTAGCAACTTTTGAAGGCATTTAGAACCTGCAGTGCCCATTGATGTCTTAGAGCATGAAGGGTCTGTATTACCAGTGCTTTCTTAGCTTTACTTCTTGGTTTACCCATTTAGAAAACAGCTTCTTTTAAAATTATTTGAACTGTAACACATTGGAATTATTGCATTTTTTTTTATATAGGTCTGTTATGAAGCTTAATCTAGGAACCTTAGTCTCATAAAAATGTAATTCCTGATGCTTTATAAATGGATGTAGTCTGTTTTGAGGTATATAGTGATGCCCTGTGATAGACACTGTGTTGTGTCCACACCTAGTGTGCCCATTGTGACCATGCTGCACCACGTTGTGCTCACGTGATGCTGTTGTGACCAGTCATGTCACAATAGAAGGACATAAAGTGCCATTAAAAACAAAATTGTGTTGAAGATTCATACCTGCAAAAAGTGAAGAAGTTGTGAATCTTGATTAGGAAGAGCAGACAAGAAAGGAATTGTTCCCTTGTAATTTTACCTTATCTAAAGTCACAAGTGTAGAAGCAGAGAGACCCTTAAGGGGCTCTGGAGAACTGTTAGAGGAAAAAAGGACCTCTTTGATATGAAAGTTGTTATAAATATCTGCCTGGTAAGATTCAGTGGGCATGGAGGTACATTACTAAACTCATGAATAACAAGGAATTCAGTTGCGTCGGTGCTTCCTACAGCCAGACTATCAGTTGGCATTGCTATTGGAATGTGTTGGGGACAAGTTCTGCACCTGAATGTGCAAAAGGCAACCAGGAGAGAGGTTCTTCTGGAGGGGATTCAAGCCAGGGTGAAGAAACTGATAGTTAACACCAGGCTAGAGAGTACCTGTGTGACTGAATGTGAAATGCAATCTTGGGAAGATGGGTAGGAGAACTTCTGTTCTTTGTGTGATTCCTCACTGTAGAAGTCAGCCTGGGTGGGGTTATTATCACAATAATTCTGCAGATGTCCAAGAAAGTTGTCCATCTCTAAGAGGGAAGAAACCAATTAAAAGAGTATTTAGCTGAGGTCTGGTAGGGTGTTTTTTAGTTGTGGACAAAGGAAAAGCCTTGAATGTTACATATTTCTTTTCATAAGGCTTTCACATAAGACTTGATTCAAAGCAAGCTGGGAAATGTGGGAAACGTGCAACTACAATGGGCTGGGTGGAAAGCTAGAAACTGAGTTTAAGTAGCTCACTATCAAAACAGAAGATTTATTAAAAGGAGTTCTGCAGGGATTTGTGGTGACTCAGTGTTTTTCAGTGTTTTCATTAATGATCTGGGTGATGGAATAGTGTATACTTATTAAACTTGCAACAGTACCAAGCCGGGAAGGACTGCAAGTACATTGCAGGACAGGTTTAGAATTCAAAATAATCTTGATAAATTGTAGATATTGTCTGGAAAAATAAGATGCTATTCAAAAATATCAAATGCAAGCATTACACCGCAATAACAAATTTCACAAATACAGAATGAAAAATTACTGGTTGGAGAGCAGTTCTGTAAACAAGATTGTACATGAATTTACATTGCCATCTTCTATAGGAAAACAACCCAGTACACATTAGGAAAAGCAAGGACTGCCGGATAGGAGGCAGTTTTAGTGGTAAAATGTGTTGAATAGTTGTTGGTTTATGAATTGTGATCTCTTCACAAAGTTAAATTCGTGACTTTTTGATACGTGAAGGTAACTCTGATACTGTTTTGTATTCAAAATTATGTCATATGTGGAGAAACAGACTCTGTCATGTAATTTCTGTTTAATGATAGTGCTTAGGAGGATAATTTATTTGTTTTGCATAAAGCATGCTAAGTTTCCTAACTGAGTCAGGAGAGGGTATTGAAAGAGATCAGAACTTTTACTGATACCCACAAGTCTGCAGGGACATAGTGAGGCTGGTGTCATATACTAACTTCAATTAATTTCTAAAGAAATAACAAACACTGGTCTTTAGATCCGCTAGCAATGAAAATATTCTCTTGAAATGTATTATTTATGTGTAAGGTAAATTACATTCTAGCTCTCTGAGTCCACAGGGCTTTGAAACTTTCCTTTCTGGGATTTTGCAAAATCCAGCCTCTGTCCTTTGTTTTACCTCCTTGGTGTTACTTGGAAATTTTTCTACGAGCTTCACATTTCAGTTTGCAGTTATCCTTCTCCAGATCTCCCAGGCACACCTGTAGATCCTTGGTTGATAATAAGAGAGCGCTATATTGTCAAGCTTCTTAATACATTTTATATGGTTTAGCTCTGTTAGTTCTGCACCAAACTTCTTTAAGGGCATTTACAGGTATGAATCTTACATGATAGTGACTTTCTGAAGTTGCGATTTTTCAGTCCTCATGGCCCAAACTCTGACACATTCTTTGCTGAAACTGTAAATTTCAGGCTTCTGTGAACAAAAGTGGTAAAATCAAAAGGAAACACCCAGAAAACTACTGCTAATTTGTGGCTCCTTCATTTTAGCATCACCTTCAGAAACCTCACTGGCCTTTTGTTGGCAACATTTCTGTTCAGCTTTTTTGGTACGGAAGTTACTCCTAATGTTTTGGTATGCTAACCATGCATGGTTCAACCCTCCTACTCCTTTTCTCATCAGTTATATTAATATAATGAACAGAAATTACTTTTTCCAATTTGCATTTAAACAGTATGCTGATTATATAATTTCTTCCTGGGGCACCCTTTATTCCTGAAGCTAAACAGCACCTTCAGAATTCTTTAATTCTCTTCAGATTAATCTAATTGACCTTAAATTCTTCCACAATGTTGTATTTCAGGACTTTCTGGACCATTATACCTCTACTCTCACATACCAAATTTCCTTCATATTTCTCTCTTTTTATAGCCTGAAGGTAGAAAGTAATCTCTGTAGTGTCTCTGGACGGAACAGTTGCCCAAGTTTTGCATTTTTGAGTTGGTTTTGAATAGCAAGACATTAGCATGAATCCTGGTTTTGTCTCTTAACAGCTATATGCCATGTTTAGTATTTAGATCACTAGAAAACTGTGTGTTTGGGGAGTAGCACATAAAAAGCACATTAAAAGAAGTGACTCAGTTAGAGGTTAACACTTTTTTCCCCAGTTCCTTATTTGGATCATTTGAAAATTCTCATTTCGTGCATGCAGAATTTTGCCTTTGTGTACAAGTATCATCGTATCCCATGAAATGTAGACGCTGCTGATTAACTGATGCTTCTGCAGAAATGATAAAGGGCCTTTATCTGTGAAGTGTTCTTAGTACACAAGTATAGGCAATACAGGAAATTGTAGATGTTAGTACTTTGAATTTGAGAAGATGTGCATGTACTGGGGAAGATGATGTTGAATTTAACTTGTTAGAATTAAATTTGTGTGTAGTTATTGATGATGTAAATTATTTATTCTGTTTGAGTTCTTTTGCTTCCTCCTTAACAGGCTTATTGGGACTGACTGTGTGGTAAGGTTTAGGTAACCGTTCTTGTTTTGCTTAAATGGTTGTGTCTTAAAAGGAATTTGATACTAGCAGGAAATGGGAGATTTCTTAATTTTTTTGTTTTTAAATGAAAATATGTGGAAAGACAAGCTAAGCTGCAAAATTAGAACACAAGAAAAAAGATAGGGTAACAGCTGTAACATGGTCCTTGTAGTTACATTCAACTGGTTTTTTTCCTCCTCTTTTCTTCCAAATCCCCTCTGCCAACGAATGTGTGCTGTGCACACAGTGATTGATTAGGCACTGTATGATAGAATTAAAGAACACGTGAGAAATTTTGATGATGCACTGAATGACCAGCATTGGTTAGTTTTACTTTTTCCATGAAGGACATTGGTTTTTTTCCTAATCTCTCCAGGGTTTTATAATGTTGGATTGTAATACCCGGCAATGTCCTTCAATTATAAAACAGCATTTCAAAACTAGGGCACAGCTTCCCTGTAAGAAGTACTGTGATATGATGTTATTTGGGCGAGAAAGAAAATCTGTAACAAGCTTTGTTTCTGGGTCTAGCTTTTGTGTCAGGCAACCTTCACCACTGATTGTACTTCTGTTCCCTTTCACAACTCAAGGCCTTTTCTGTAATGGTGACCATTTATCTAGACAAAATGACCCTCTCGTGCCCATCAGCACTTCTCATGAAATGGCAACAGGATGCAACGTGTTACATACCTCCTGTGTAGAAATCCCTGTGGCCTCTGAATTAAAGTACTAATCGCATGTGGAAGTGCTGCAAGTAGGCTGGTACTTGGACGTGGAGATTCAGTTTATTCCATTGGCAAACACTGGTGGGGTTAAAGGGGCTTCAACAGCCCTATTATTTAAGAATAGCAAAGGAAACCAACGAAGAATAGTCTCCTTCCTATTCACTTTATTCCAAATATATATTAAAAATATAACTGAAAACATGTACTGTTGAGACAGATACAGTAATGGATTTGATTTTCGTGTATTTCGTCTTCTGGCAGATTTATCACCTTTTTAATTTTTTTGTTTGTTTTAGAATTTAAGCCCGCCACTTGATGTTAAAAAAATGGCAGAAATACTTACAGCGTGCTTTGCTTTCTTCTGCTTTACCCCTTTAGCAGACAGATGATGCAGCACAGACTGATGGCCAACAACAGACACAATCTTCTGAAAACACAGAAAACAAATCACAGCCAAAACGGCTTCACGTCTCAAATATACCCTTCAGATTCCGGGATCCAGATCTTAGACAAATGTTTGGTGTAAGTACTCACACTTTATGCTTTTTTTATATTTGCATTGTAATAGATATCTTATAGGCAACTGTGAGAGCAGTATCTCTGATTTAGCTCTTTAACTATTTTCGGTAAAGATTTCCTATTCATTTTTTTATAACCAAACACCTGATTTCCCAGGCACAACTGGGAGAAGTTATTCTACTTTATGTAATACAGAAGGGTCTATTCTATATCTTGTGTTGTTTTGTATTATATTCAAAAAAAAGCTATCTATGTGGGCTTAAAATATTGAATACGTATATATTCCTCCTGTACACATCTGGATTTATATGCCTGTATTGATCTTGGAGAGCTTGATGTAAAATAGACAATGCTTGTCTTCATGAGCAGGGGATCTAAATCTACAGAAGTAACACATGGGCTGAATTTAAGCAGGAAGTCGAGGAGTAGGAGTCCTCACCCATCCCCACAGGTGCTGTAGGGCTGTAAGCTAAAGTTTTTGCCAGTTTCTTTGTTCTAAATCTCTCAATTTTTGCTTTTGCCCAGGCCATTAGCTGCCTTAAAGTGCACTGGCTCTATTTCACACGGCGCATATGTGCCATCAATTCTAGGCTCATAACCAGGAGAGGTTAGACTGGGTTTCTTGTCCCTGCTCCAAGAACACTTGAGTTTAATTTTAAATGCTACTAAAGAAAATTTAGAAAGCATACTTGATCAGCTATTAGAACCCAGCTTTTCCAAGTTAGAACTCTTCAGTATTTGTGTTACTCTTGCTTCCTTACTCACTAGAACTTAATTCTATTCTGCATTATGGTTTGTAACACAGTGCAGCATCAAGTACTTCATGGCACTGGTCTCCATCTTCCATGTTCAGTTCAGATTCTTCTTCAAATGCCTTTGTATGTAGGGTCAGACATTGTGTTTTTCAGTACTTATTTCTATGAAGTGAAGGAAGCAGTTGGTGGATAAAGAATCCCGATATAGCACTGGGAGTGTTTTGCCGATCTAACTTGCTGCAAGTAACCTCCCCTAAATGCAGCTTATGGCTGATCAGTAAAATAGGAGAAGGCATGATAATTAACCCTCTGGAGAAGAATATGCAAATTTATTTAAATTAAACTTACCACTTAAAATAGATGGATTTTATTTGAAAGTACATTAAATGAAAGGAATTTGTTTTGGAGGGATTGTAGTAATTTATAAGTGAATAAAAACTACATTTCTTTTAAATACTTCTAAGTCTTAGGTCTCAAAGGACTAATGCAGGAAAATGGCTGGAGTTTTCAGCTTTCGAATGACTTGGTAACAATAAACTTACAGCTTTGGAATTGATAGAAAGCTGGAATACTGACAGTTGCTACTAATATTAAACTAAAAGTCTGAGTAGAGAAAAATCCCCACCGAGGAAGTATCAATTCTGGTTTCCAAATTATTCTCTAGAAAGAGTATAAGTAACGAGAGTGTACTAAGATAACAAGGGTGGAGAGAAATCCTCCCTGCTTGAAGCTAGCAACAAAGCTCCCAGATGCTTTATCTTATTCCTGTAAAAACCAGGTAACCAAACTCCTTTTCCCATCCTGAAATCAAGCTGCAAAGAGTCATCTGAAACAAGGATTCTTCAGCGGGAAAGGGTGACCAGAGGGCAGCAGTGTTCACACTAACTCTCCTGTTAGTGATGTTGAGTGCACTCCAAGCAAAGCAAGCCAGTTGCATATTGCATATCGAAGAATCACAGAATGGCCTAGGCTGGAAGGGACCTTAAAATCATTTAATCCAACCTCCCTGTCATGGGCAGGGACTCCTCTCAACTAGATCAGGCAACACATGAGGACCGAACGGGGATCGAACCCGCGACTTTGGTATGTGCAAAGATGAAATAAAAGGGAAAAAAAACCCAACACTATTTAGGATTAGACCTACACGGTGATCACACTTTAATAATGACTTCCTCTTTTGCCAGCTGGTTTCACTGGCCTTGAAGTTCATAAATGCATATGTGAGATGACAGTGACAAGTGCAATGATACATAAAATTTCGTTGTAATATTGATCTGGCTCCTCTTCAGTGTGTCTTTTTTGGTGCTTGGCTGTCTGATTTTATATTCTTTAACTTTTTCACGTGGCACACCGTTTCCTGAAACAAGCATTTGTACTGTATAGGATAGAAGTGTTGAAGTTATCTTATTTTCATGTGATTTTTCTATTTCTTTGCAGCAATTTGGTAAAATCTTAGATGTTGAAATTATTTTTAATGAGCGAGGCTCAAAGGTAAGCAGTTTAATTCACTCATGGAATTTTTTGTTTAAAGTATTTATATCTGTAAACGGAAACAACTGCACTGCTGTAGAAAATAATGTCTGAAATTCCATGTTAGTGAAAACATCTTGTGAGCTGTCATTCAGTTTCCTAAGCAGCAGGAAAATCTTTGGACTCATTTTATATCTTTTTAAGGGGATAATTTTAGCTACTCCAAACTGTCATCTGTTTTTATGGGAATGTTGGTTTCTGCTGTCTTTATTCTCCAATGGTAATTATTTTATAAGATGAGTCCATACTTAGATATTTTTAGGCAGGTTCATGTTAGCACAGGTATTTTTTTCAACTCTTGAAATGAAATATGCCAATGATACTGAATAACTGTCCTCTTTAGTAATTAGCTGAGAAATTATATGATTGTTTCAGATTATCTAAGTGCAGATGTTTTCCTCTTTAGTTAAAGCTTCAGTACACCAACCCTTTGAAAACAATCTGGTTTAACATTTATTTGATTAAGGGAGTTCTTAGCGTATTGCAAATGTTAATTTTTTTTCCTGAAAATTGCTTTGCCTTTAATGCATACTTCAACTTTTGTTCAATATTTAAGAAATAAAGCAAGATGGAATGGTTATGACTGCATTAGCATTGTTAGCTGGTGCAAAACTGCGGCCCAGTGTGCTGCACCTATGATAGCAGCTGCATTGTAAGGGTTTATGCGTATGTCATATGTCACATTTTTCCTTTTCCTGCCTTGTCAGGAATCTTTACCCACCGATGTCTCAGTTTTCCTGTAACTCTCATGTATGATTTATTATTAGCGATGGGATTCTTTTCCTGTTATAGACATGCTGTAATCTGTCATTTTTTCAGAATCAGACATATAATAAATGTCTCTTAGATCAGATATATCTGAATTGTATTAATTCTTCCCTTATTATGTTTGCATTTATATTCTAAACTTAAAGCCATCACGTTGTTTTTTGTTGATTTTTTAAAATATAACAGCTAAAATTTACTGGATTTTTAATATTCTGAAATTATTCTGACGTTCATTTATCAGTACCCTTGCCTGCTAGCCCAAAGCCACTCGGAACATTCACTGCTTTTTCAGTAAACAACCAAAAATGTATGGCATTTGGTGGCTTAGAATCTCCTATTATGGCTGCAATTGATTATCATTAAATTATGGCTGTTCAATAGTGTTTGCAAAAGTGGTTTATCTAGAACCTGTAGGGTTCTAGATGTCAGAAAACATCTCACACTTGACGCCCGGCCTTAGTTCTGCTGAAGATGGAGGGAGCTGAGTACACGTGTCCCAGTGGTGGTTTACACGTTTGCTTAACCATTAAATCTTACTCTCGGAGAACTTCTAACCGCCGCGTCTGCATTGGGCTGCACAAGTACAAGGCTTTTTTTTTTTTTTTTTTTTTTTTTTTGCAGTGTTTGGAGGATGGGGTGAGGAGGTATTTCTGAATAGAGTTTTTTTGGATGGTGGTCTTGCAGTAGTGAGAACATCCCAGTGCTTTGTGTTCAAAACCAAGCTCCTAGAAAGGGTTTCACAAGGAAGAGGTTTTCTTAGGCAGGTCTGTAATGTCATTACCTCTGCTACCTCTGTTAAGAAATTCTAAGGTGTGTTATTAAATACTTCTCCGTGAGGCAGTGCTGCGTTGGTGCATCCAGGCTGCTTCTGAGTGAGCTGTTGAAGCATCCCTGATGCATCTCATTGCTTAGGTGTGCTGCTTCTCACCTTGCTTAGTTAGTCCATGGATAGCTACAGGACATTTTCATTTGCAAAAGTACCCATAGGTTGTCTCAATTAAATAAAAACTTAAAAAAACAGAAATAGGAATAAGCGGAGCATTTTTTTAATAATTATTTATGTTTTAATCTTATCATTTCATGTCCATTCTATAGGATTTAAGATGCACCAGATTAAAGTCCCATTCCTGGCAGTGCTTATCTATGTTTTCATAAAATCCCAGTGAATCTGAAAGGACTACTAAGTGGTCTCAGACTGAGTACAGGTAAAAAAAAGTTCGCAGGATCAAAGTTCAGATTTGTTTCTAGCTGCATTTTGGCATAAAAGAATTGCTAGGGGTTTTTTTTTGTTTCTGTTTTTGTTTATTTCTTTTTATGTCAATAATTTGTTTTTAAAAATATTTTTGCAAAACCAACAGAAGTTCATTTTCATACCATAATAGCGAAGAAAAATGAGATGGTGTATTCAAAACCCTTAATGCTGCAGCACCACCTTAAAGAAATAAAATAAATTTGCAGAAGGGAGCCTCTCCATAAAAGAAACCCCAAAATAATATGTTTTGTACTACAAATTTCTTTTTGTTTTGGGTGCATAATAATAATAATATTTATAATTTCACTAGAATTGTATGGCAGCACTGATTGTTTTGGAACCCTTTCATAAAAAGTGAAAGAATGTCGGTATTGCTATTTCTTAGAACCAGTTAAATAAATGAGACTTACCTTTTGCCAATTCTTGAAGATGTTGATTAAAGTAACGTGAAAAACTGCTGGTAACTTACCTTACTCTGCGTTTACCACTCATCTTGGAAGGACAGTTTGAAATCTAGCTTCTACTGCTGCACATATTTTAATGCTACTCCACTGTTTTGTCATGGAAGCTCTCCAAGGAGCTGCAAAGCGCTTTTATCTCAGGCACAACTACAAGGCTGCAGATAAAGGAACATCAAAAAATACCATTTTTTTACTGTTTTAAATTAATGCTCTATACAGCTGTATGCTACACAGATATTTGCATAGATGTATGTGTATATATATTAATATGTATCTAGAATATATTATGTTAACATACATTTCTTCAAATAAGAAGAGCTTCAGAACTCCTCCCAAACTGAACCAGAACATTCCCATGTACTAACCTGGCTATTATTAAATCATTAGCCAGACTTTAAAAAATAAAATGCAGACGATTCTGTTACCAGTTAATAAAATACGTAGTACACGAAGCTGAAGTAGCTGTTGAGCCATCTGCATATCCAATCAATGTTAACACGTTTGTGTAGATATCTGAATGTGTCATGAGTGAATCTATGTTCCGTCATTGAGTTTCTGTGTCAGCTAGGTAAAATTAAAGATTTGCATACATAATAAGAGCTTAGTTTAAATAGCGCTAATTGTGAGAATAAGTACAACATAAGAAATTAAAAAATTACAATGAGTATTCTTTTCAGAACCTTTGAAGTTCCTGTCTTATCTTGACTCGTGGCTCCGCTTTATATCTTTTTCTAATTTTTTAATATAATTAGGTTTTTATCTTTCCCTGCAGTTGTTTGAGAAAAATTAACTGGTAGTGCTGTGAGCTAAGATGACCGATTCAAAATTTTTGACAACATAACTCCCACCAAATGTTGGCATTTCTGAGAAGGGGCAGTTATTCACCGAGGAGCAGAGGGAAGAGCAAACAGGATTTGGGGAATTTATGCTGTTGCTTGGAGCCAGACTCGTTGGACTAATGCTTTCGGTCAGGTTCTCTGCTGTGAAATTTTCTTAATGGCGTCTTAAATTATGAGCCTTTTTTTTTTTTTTTTTACAGAGCTTTTACAAGATGGGAGGAAGCAGTTGAAGAAGAAATAAAAGTTTAATGTTGAGGATGAGTTTAGGTATAAGGAAAGCGAATGCAGGCATCCAACCTGGGGATTAGCACGGAAAAGGGGGATTTATTTTCTCTCAATGCTCCTGGTGCTTTGGGGAAAAGAGAGTTACATCCCCAGTGTCTTGTGACAAGCGAGGTCATGGCTTTGTGCTAAAATTGTGGAGGGTAGAGTAGGGAAAATGTGTGGAATCAGGTGTTTTAAGAATCCCTTCAGCTAGAAGTGGAACTGCTGATAGAGCACTTCTGGGCTCAGACTCCAGTGTGGCTTTAATGAGAAAAAGAAAAAAAGAGCAACAGACAATGTGTTTAAGCTTCTTTGAAGAGAATGGTGCATAAACTGCTACTGTATAGAAGTGTCACTTTCTATGTTATAAACTGGCATAAATTAAAGCGTTTTCTGAGTAGGTAAAATAACCCAAATAACCCATGTAACGATCCTGATGGCTTCTTAACTTTTTTTATCTATTGATAGTTAATTAGTTTGGCAGCTCATATCCATTGAGGGAAAGCTTTAACTCATAGTTCAAGCAAAAGTAACAGTAAAAAAAAAAAAAAGGGTTCTAGTAGGACTTCAGCTATGTGCGGCCATGCCTAAATGGAAAGCAGCCATGTGAGCAGCCATGGGAAACTTGTACATGTTTCGTGTTACGAAACGCCAAGGATGCAGAAGCTCGTTTGTCTGGGTAACTTTGGGAAAGCAGGCAAAGGCGTTGTAGTGCGAATGAAAGAATGGCTTTCAAAGGGTTGGTGTATATTTCTAAAATACCTTCCAGTGTCTGATTTTTTTTCGGAAACATTTGCCGTTGTGAGCAGTGTTGAATAAAAAGAATTTTAGTAGGCTTGGAAATTTTCGTTCAGTCTAATGTTATAAAGCGAAGTATTTGTTATGAGCAGATTTTCATAATTGTCGAGTATTCTCCAGTCCCACTAACTCGGGATTCTGGAGTGTTACCAGTTGCATGTTCTACGTGTGGGAAGTAATTTACATAAATAGTAAATGAAGCAGTTAAACTTATTCCAAACATTTGCATTTTTATTCCTTTATCAGAGTTTCTTTTCCTGTTCACATCATGTGATTTTATTTGATCTGTTAATATGAGAAAGTTTATACTTTGTTCTAAAAGTACTTCTGTTTTGTTGGTGGTTTTCTTTTTCTTTTTTTTCTTTTATAAAAAAATAAGTAAAGGCTGTATAGTTTGACGAAAGTTTAAGTTACCCTAGTGTTGCATGGGAACAATGTTTCTTATGATCACGAGAGCATGATGAAGTAGGCAATGTTTTAGAGTATATTGACATTCAGTGTTGAATTTTGTGCACACGTTTTTATTTTGTTGAGAGATCTGCATGTCATTAAAATGTGGTTCATTTTCTTTTCTCATTAGTTCATTTTTTTCTATGTGAAGACACTGTAATTTATTTTAATTTCATTTTCTTATTGTTAGATTTGTTTTCCTCTGTAGTGACATGTAGAAAGGTATTTTTGGTATCGTTCTTTGAATTTCTCAGAGGGTATTATCTAACTGATGACAGAAAAAATTTGTTCACATTTGTAGCTTATTTATTGCACATCTCAATACAATTATAATTTTTCTAATTTGCATGTTACAGAAATGAAGCCAGGACAAGAGAATATTAAATTAAAGAGAGAGAACATAAGCAAACAAGTGGTCGTTGACTGAAATAATAATGTGCATGTTGTTTTCCCCCCTTCTCCCTCCTGCATGCAGGGATTTGGTTTCGTAACTTTCGAAAATAGTGCTGATGCGGACAGGGCGAGGGAGAAATTACACGGCACCGTGGTAGAGGGCCGTAAAATCGAGGTGCATGTTCAAAATATTTTCCTTTTCATCTTTTTTATAAATGTCTGCTTCACTCTCATTTGTTGTTTCAGATGCATCATTGGTGTCTTCTGTGTGCTCCCCTTTCCCCTTCCCATTGTTTATATATATATTTATATATAAAGAGAGAGAATCTGGCCTTACTTGGGTTTTTTATTATTATTTCTTTTGTAATTATTATTATTATTATCATTATTGCTGAAAGGTGGATGACAGAATTGAAAAAAAAATTAAAGCTTTAATATTTTGAAGTTATTATTTTGGATGTTTTGTAAATCGATGGGTGCAGTAGGTTCCAAAAACCAGCCAACAAAAACAAAAAAAAAATTAAAAATTGAGAACAACAACAACAAAAAAATGTGACAGACAAAACAAAAACAAACAAAAGGTTGGGTTTTTTTGTTTTGTTTCTTTTTTTTTTTTTTTTTTTGCTGCAGGGTTGATGTGGGATCCACAGTGGCTTTCAAAAAATTCAGATTGGGAAAAAAAGCATCCAAAAGATGTACAAGAAATCGAAACAAAGCCAGACTAAAGCCCGACCAGTTTTAACATTTCCCTTTTAATGAAACCATCAGGCTGCTTTGGCTTGATGGCCTGAGCCGTTCGCACCTATTCAAATCGACCCAAATGCGGTTTAGCACCACTGGATCCCCTTCAATACTGCCTCAGTCGTATTTGTTAGAATTAAAAAAAAAAAAAAAAACCAATTGAAAATGATGTCGTCTTTTGAGTAAGATGTTGCATATTTTGCCTTTTCATTTTCCCCCTTCGACGGTAGCGCTTAGGGCCCTCACCAAACTCTCAGTAACCATGGTAACTGTATACATACCCATGCTGGCGATGGTGCTGAATGGTAAGTGGAGAAGTCCATCTGCCGTTTCACGTATTTAGCGCTGATATACCACGTGAATTTTTTTGACTTGTTGTATTAAGTTTTCTTGATGCTACATTTTTTTCTATATTGGTACGCCTGTAATTGAGTGTACGTTTTAAGCAAGCCTGGGAGGCACTGATTGGATTGAGGATATGACTTCGTGCACATCTTACTCAGATTGTTAACTCCATATTGTGTTAAATAATGCACCCTCTTTTTATCCTTTTGTTAGCTGTGATTTTAAAGCTTGAATGATTTTGTTAATTCTTGCAATGAAAAAGGCTCTTGTTCCAAGTGTTGAATGCTAGATGTTGCTTTTCCAATGGTACTTCTCTTCTAAAGGGTTATGTTGCACACTGCTAAAATTCGTTTGTCCCTTTTTTGACATTTTCTTTGTTTCCTTGTACCTTGTCTATTTCCCTTCTACTCCACTGCATGTTCCTTCATATAATCTTTTTTTTTTCTGTTTTGAGTATTTTTTTGTATCAGTGTTATCATGGAATACAAGCATGCTCTTCAGTCTTAAATTATGCAGTACCTTTTAATTTGCTTTTAATGTCTTTTTATTAAAGTTTAAATGATATGATGTTGCTTTACTGAAATGATTTGTAAGTTAAAATGGTTATGAAAGTAAATGTAATTATAAATAGTATGATTTTGTTATGCACCTGTTGCCTTCTATAAATTAAATTGCATTTTATTTTTTTTACATGACTAATAGCAGTAATAATGCATGCATTTAATAGTAACGTGGACTCTCCCTGTAACCCTTTCTAATCCGGTGTTCTATGTGCTTAGGTAAATAATGCAACAGCACGTGTAATGACAAATAAAAAGACCGTCAACCCTTACACGAATGGTAAGTGCATGAGCTCTCCACGCTTTGTTTGAACATCAGTGCATGTGCAAGCTCACTCTCCTGCTGAGTGTGAGGCCTCATCTGCTTGTGGGCTGTCGTAGTCCCCATCTTCTGCAGCTCCTTGGGCTCAGGCTTTGTCCAGTGACATACAACACGATACGACTGGGCATAGTTTCCAGCCGAGTTCAGCTAATTCACAGCTGCGTGGGCACAGCGGGTGGCATTTTCCCCGATTGGAATCGGAGGGTTTGACTCCAGTGGCCTTCGTATAGGAAAATATACCTGAGAGGAAAGCGTTCTCCTCCCGCAGCTTTGTGCAGTGTTAATGTTGCAATGAATGAGCTAATGGAAGGATTCAGTTTGCTGGGATCATGGAATCATCAAGGCTGGAAAGGACCTTAAGGTCATCAAGTCCAACCCACAGCCCTACACCACCCTGACACCAAACCATCTCCTCAAGTGCCACATCCAGCCGCTTTTTAAACATGTCCAGGGATGGACTCCACCACCTCCCTCTGCAACCCAGTCCAATGCTTCAGCACCCTTTCAGTGAAGCAGTTTTTCCTAATATCCAATCTAAACTTCCCCTGGCGCAACTTGAACCCGTTAACTCTTGTCGTATCGCTCTTCACTAGGGAGAAGACGCCAACCCCTGTCTCACTACAGCTGCCTTTCAGGGAGTTGTAGAGAGCAATAAGGTCTCCCCTCAGCCTCCTCTTCTCCAGGCTGAACAGCCCCAGCTCCCTAAGCCGCTCTTCATAAGACTTACCCTCTACTCCCCTAATCATTCTGGCGGGGGAACCAGTGAGAGGAATGTCTCTGTCAGGCATGAGATGCATTTCAGTACCAAGACTCACATCTAGGCAAAGATAATTCTCTCTGTCTACCTTCTGCAACTGGCTAGAAGTAAAGGGCAAACTGTAATTGCTTCCAGCTTTTTTCCCTGGAAAAATCTGAATTCCAAACTATCAAAAAGTTCATTCTAATACTGACCCTAAGTTGGTATAATGTCGTGCCTTCATGATAGAACAGCAACCTATAGGTATTTGAGGCATTTGGAAGCAGTACATTAAAAAATGTTTCCTTTGGCAGTGTTTGATCATGGGCTTGAGCTGTTGGCATTTGCTAGTTCAGAAAATTCCAATAGGTTCCTAACTCAACAACGTCAAACAACAATACATCAACCAAAGTTACTTGCAGTTACAGTTTCCAGTTTTACTGCACGGCACAGTTATAATTATTTGCTTTTCAATTTCATTTAGTTTTTTGCATCCAGTAGAAAGCAGATGAAATCTACCCATACGTGAGTGAAGGGTTAGAAAGGTAGATCAGAGTCTTTTCCAGTTTGAAGTAAAATGGATCTTATTCTCTATACCTGAGGTCTCACTAGTGAGGTTTTAGTAGAACTCAGGGCAAACAGTGGCTTTGTATTTTAATGAAAAAGCAAAAAAATCGCATATAGCGATGGTTTTCATTTGAAATGTGATAATTGAGCTAGTTAAAATGATCTGGAGGAGTTTTAAATTCCTTATGCTTTGTCAGAAGCTGTTTTCTTCATCGTTTTGTATGTGTATGTGGAAGTTGGCAAATGATGCAGATGGGAAAATCTCCTTTATTTTTACTGACTTTAAAGCATCTCAGTGAATCTAGTGAAAGAACCACAAAGCTTATGGGTCACGTACCAAGATTTTGTTGCAATAAGGAACTAAATTAACTATATGCATATCATACTATGATCTTGGCTGTATTTTAATGTTGAAAGTAGTTACACTGTTATAAATGACAATGTATATTTTGTATTAGTACCATCCTAAGGCTATGAAACTGTTAGCAAAGAATACATTGCACATCAGCACATCCAGTGGTGAAGGATGGGAATGCTGGATTTTTAGGAATCTGGTTTCAGAGGAGGTTCGCCTCCGTGCCCTGCACTGCAGGATTACTTAGGTTGTATATTATCATGTATGAATATCCAGAAACAGAACCATGCAAATCTGCTGTTAAGTGTTTCACACTTCAAGTGCTTTGTCTGTCATTTGCCATTTTATTCTGTCTGGACTAGATCTCACCAAAGGTACAAAATACCTTGTTCAGTGCGTAAGAGTTAGCGTTTGTGTCTGTGAATCCATACATCCAAGGTGGGGCGTGCAGGATGTTCTTTTGCACACCTTTTGATGGGTAACACCAAGAAAAACTCTGATTGTAGTTTACACATTTTGCTATTTTTTTAACTTCTTTTTATTGTCTGAGTTCCCCTAAAGTAAACACACAAGGAGAGTCTTGCATAATCACTGCAGGCAACGAGAAATGAAGTGTGGACTTGCAAGGTGCTTCATTTAGTTTAATCAGTGCTTGTATTATCAGTCATCCTGGCATTGTATGGTTCTGGTTCTTTATCATTTTGTCAGGAATTAACCAGGGCTGTGGCTGATTATTAAAGATTATTGTTGTCTAAAATAATGGTCTCACCTACTGAATAACATGTAAGGCTAGTTGCGATGTGGTCTATGAGCATATAAACATTTGCAAGATGCTTCAGACGCATTTGGCAGGAAATTTTTTGTTTACAGTGTTGAACCACTTCTTTTTTTAATATATGGCTGTATTTTTCAAAGAGTACGTGGTAACCGACGTGTCGCTGCCAGGTATTCAATAATTGGGGCATATGTTGTATGATAGGAAAACATCAGGGACTAATATTTGTTAAAAATAATACACCCTCATCTTTGTCCTTCATTCCTGATTGTTTGATAACAGGGCTCATGTTGTAAATACGATTGTAAAAGTCAGTAGATTTTAAAGCGCAAAACTCTACACTTTTTTTTTCACTATATGCAACTTCATTCAAATAAATGGTGTGCTTTTGTGTCCTAGATGGTTTTTGAAATCAATCTGCTTTCCAGTGACTTCTGATGATTCCCAAAACGGGTAGCTAATAAGTGCTTAGTTGGTAGGAGAGCTTTCCTTGTGCAAGTTTTTTATCAGACAGGATGATTCTGATGGCTCACCTCATATGCTTTGGAGACACAACCGTCTTTTCTTTGCGAATAAATTGTCAGATGTTCTACTTGTTGGCAGAAATATTTTGGAGATGTTTTTAGATGTTCCAACCTATCCTCTTCACAATTACGGTTTCTCTGAGTGCCCATATTGCAATTCGGGATGCTCATCCAACTGGTGTAGGTGCAAGTAGATTCAGAGAACCACAGCAGAGAATGAGGATCATGAAACAGAGATCACTGGAGGGAAAAATATGTTTTAAAGCTTATACTTGCAGTGCCTTGAGTTTGAGCCTTCTGTTGATCTCTTAGATTCAAAATCACGGGTAGAGACTATTCTCACAGTTAAATTCCTTCCCAGTTCCCTTTTCTCCCCACTCTATACGCAAACAGGAGGAAAGCAAATGATGTCGCAGAACTTCTTTGGTGCCAAAGCATTCCTTCGGCCACGAGTGCCTGTCTGGCGTTAGGAAGTGAAAATAATCCTCTGTGCATTGCTGTGCCCCACTTTCCTCTAAAGCTTGTTGGGCTGTGCAGTGTGATTATTGCCTTCCCTTTAGCAAGCTTAGCGCGCCTATCTTTGGCTGGCTGTACAGGGGAAGGCAGAGGGGTTGTTAGCTTCCTTGTTGGGTTTTTCAGTTTTGAGCTTTTGTTGTTCAAACGCGAGGAGGAGATTAATATTGTGACAGTAAGAAAAATGCATGAAATCACCGCTGCTGCAGAGAGCGTGCCTCCTCCAGCTGCTGAAGCAGGGTTTCTTGGCAGCTGCTCACTCGGGTACATCGACTGCTATCACACTTGATTAACCCACACGGCTCTGGGCCAGCGCACTGCAAGCTGGCAAGATAAAGTTAAGTTTAATTACTGTTATTTTCGTGATGAATGAAGTATTTCCTGGATAAGGTTGGAAAAGTTAGATGAGACAGCCATCGCTGTGAGGGAGGTAAGGAACTGAAATATGAGAGTGGCTTTCAGCTGTGAAGAACAATCTGCGTCTACCAGGATTTTTTTTTCCTTTCCCTCAGACAAATCGTGGCACTGTTAGTGTCACTTAGAAACTGAGAGGTGTCTGTCAGCTTCTTTGACAGGAAAAGCTGACAGATCTGAAATTCAATCCGAGCTTTCCTTTTGGATGGTGTTGATGGTTTGAGGAAGTAATAAATCTGAAACATTAGATATTCCCTAAGCTATAAAAAGTTAAATTGTTACTGAAAGTCTCATAATTTGGAAAATTTTCTAGGACATAAAATGTGGCTAAGAGTATATGTTGTACCTTGACGTTCCTAAATATAATCGTGTACTATGTAAAATTGGAGGGTCAGGTAAAAATCCTGTCTTATTTTCAGGAGAAAAGTAATTTTTCAGGTTCTGTAATTGTCTTTTAGGCACGAGTAGCAATTAATGTCTGCGGAGTGGTTTGCAGGCAATGCTGGTTTTTACTCTGAACTCATTAGTGAGTTGCATTTCCAAAATACCCCTCACCTCTGATACTGACCAGTTAACCACTGGTAAATAGTATGTTTAAAGCGTAGGGATAGTTTTGCTTTGTGTTATTACTGAGGTTTGTGCATTACACTTTTTCAGTCTTATAATGCGTTTCAGTTTTATGGTCTTTTTGCTGTGCTTTTGCATTACATGACAACAGCCCAGGCAGAACCAAGCCTCAATAAACGCCTCTAATTGTGGCTCTTCTGATTTTGAAAAGCCTTGTTCTCCCTGTCTCGGTTGTATTTTGTTTCCAGCAGTGGAGTTATAGCATCTATTTAAAGTACCAGAGCTCTTGACTTTAAAAGTTGCTTTAGCTCAGGGTTTTTTTTCTTTATTCGCCTTTCCAAATGGTGCTTCCCACGCCTCCGCTTCAGCTGCACTTTTGGAAAACCCCTCATTTTTCACTCCCAGTAGCTCAGCTAATTGTGTAAACTGTTTAAAATCAAAAGGGGGTATGGGTGGGGGGATATTCTCTGGAGTTTAGCGTTAACTGGGAGTAGATTCACCTGTGGCTGTGCAGAACACGCTGATCATGGGCCCTTTACCGCAGCCGAGAATGCCGGGAGCTTGCCAGGGTGTTCCCCTGCTGCTCTCCTGCCCCTTCCTCTTCAGTTCCTTTGGCATCGTTGTCTTCAGCTTCACATTCGTGTGCTTCAGGCTTGCCTGGCAACACCACGTCAGGTGTAAGGATGTGACAGCAAGGATCTGGAGTTTGTGCAATACAGAGCACCTCTTGGCTCCGCGCTGTGGCTTTACGCCAGCGGCGGGAGGACAAGGGGTCGTTTCAGACAAGGGCAGCGGCTGCATTTGCACCACCGAAGAGCTTTGCAGGCTGTGACTGCAGCATTTTGCTACCGCTACAGCAAAGTGCTGACAGCATTTAGGAGCTGTGAATGCAGGCGCTTCTGGTACGTGCCTCTCAGCGTCCCGATTCGGCGCAGGCAGGCTGGTGTGCAAATGCAAATGGGAAAAAATCCCAAGTCTCTGGGATTTGCCTGGGATCCCACAGTGAGCAAATCTCTGACATGGCACAATGGGCATTTCCATACGATGTCTACGTTTTCTATCTTCTCTGAGTAGAATAAAAAATGCTCAGATTATTTGATTGCTTCATAATCTACACAAACACATGTTATCAGAAACATTTATGTCCAGCAAATGAGCTGTTTGGGCCTCTCTGGCTTGTCACCAGAGAGTTCAAGCCGTGAAAAAGAACTGATCTGCTCTGGTACCAGATGATACAGGGATACCTGAACTAGTTCTGGCTTATTTCCATAGCTTAAGGGAGTAAGTCCGTGGCAACTGTGGATTGCAGCCAAGGTAATTCAACTGATAATTTGCTCCAGTACTGCATGTCCGAGGAATGCCTTGTTTTGTTACTTAATTCCATCCTTCAGAGGCTGATGTTAAGGATCAGTAATCTAACCCACCTATACAACTTGCATTATAATGACCTTTTTTGAAGCCATTTTATCTCACTATCTCTATGAAAGAAAAATTATTATTATTATTATGACTAATTGCAGTATTAACTCAGTTATGTTTTTTATGTTTGCTGCAGGCTGGAAATTAAATCCAGTTGTTGGTGCAGTTTATAGTCCAGAATTCTATGCAGGTAAGGATTACGCTTTGGTTGCCTATGAATTATTTCATTTAGCTATTTTTTAAAACATACACAAATACAGCATATATGCTGGTATGAGGTTTGGCTTTTTTGTCCAGTTCACATTACCTGCAAGTCATGTACAGATTTGTGATGCGGGATTTAAACAGTTACCTGGGCATACTAAAGTTTATATAGATGGTATATTGAAAGTAGATCGAGTCAGGTGAAAGGTGCTGCAATATCCCAGTCTTACATGAGATTTTATTTAGATTTTCTTATATTTCAGTACAGTCACTTTCTTCTAGGGGTTATTTAAGCCTAGTGAGCAACGAAAAAAGAGATATTTTATGCCTAAGTATAGAACATTTACGTTCTTTTTTTTTTTCCTTGAAAGTTTTTCTTTAAACTTTATGTTTAAATTTTCAGTTTCTTGAAATTTTTGTATTTATAATCTGTAGTATCTCTTGAGTCTTCACCGAGATCAAATTCTGGTCCTGGTTACAATTTGGGGATAATGAGATACAGTCGTCTTCTACTTGAACTCAGTCATGGCTAGCAGCAGTTTCTAAATGTGCTTTAGCCGCAGTATTGGCACCAATCAAGGTCGTACTCCAAAACCAAGTTGACTTCAGAAGAATTTAAATCCCACTCATTAACATCATCACTACCAAGTCCGAAAAAGAGTTCTTTGAAAGTTAATAATTTACAGATAGTGGTTAAGCATGGGAAGAGATTACCCACAGAACCTGGGGGATCTCCATTCCTGGAGATGTTCAAGCCTCCACCAGACAAAGCTGAAAAACTTGCATTATTTCAAGGGACTTGAAGAGGAAAAAAAAACGTAAATAGGACTATGGTTACAAATGGATATTTATGTTTAAAAAGCTGCCTGTGATACCTCCAGTGCCATCTACTAAGATAGATAAAAATGTTCCAGTTAGTGTATTGCATTACAGAAGTAACATGGAGTAATAAAAATACTAACTTGGCATTTGTGGAATTGGAATAGTTAGCGTAGGCAGAATTTATTTCCTTCCTTGATGTATGCCTACACTGAAAACAGGAATTTAACATTGATCTCGTTTGAGTAGTTAGTGAACCAGCCCTGAACCTGCATAAATTAGAAAGTCAGAGTTATTAGTCATTTTATATAAATGACTTAGTGTTAATGACAAATATAATAATATTCCCATAGTACAGTAATCAATTTTCTAATACGTATGCAGAATTAACAATCTGACTTATAATTGTCTCATGAAGTAGGGCATGAAGAGTTCACATAGTTTGTAAATTAAAATCAATATTTTCAATCTCTCCTGAAGGTAATTTTCCTAATTTACTGGACTTTTCCCTAACATTTATTTTGTCTTTTAATTATAAAATGGCAGGTTATTGATTTTTTTGTATAACCTCCTAAAGTCCCAAGTGCATTTTTATTGCCAGCACAAGGGAGGTGTTTGCCCTTCTTAACGAGAATCTTTAATTACCATTAGAAGAGTATTAATTTAATTTTGTGAATTATGACACACACTCCACCATACCTATGCAAAAAGTTCTATCAAGATACTTTGTGTATTTCAGGTTGTTTTCTGTTTAGACATACAAGGTGTTTTGTTTTATTTTAACACATACCAAATGCATATTTTCTGTATTGACTAAAAGATTAATTTTTTTCCTCAGATATTTTAACCTTCTTTGAAGCAATTTACATTGTTTTTTTTTATATAAAAAGAGCTCTGTGCAGATCTCCTTAAGTCATTAAAAAATGAAGCCCTAAAAGAGCAGTTCTTGCATGTTGTAGTAGAACACTGTGACGTATCTTTCCTTTTGTATCCACCCTCGTTGCTCTTTAGAAGATGATAAAATTAGAAATACAGTTTGTAAGACAGTCAAAGTTCTAGTTACTTGGTTTAATTATTGTCGCCAACACTGTCCTCTTAAAATTGTACAAACTCTTTCATAGTCAGTGCAAGAAGTTCCTTTAGCTCCTAATAAATGATGAAAAATTTGGCCACTTCTGAAATAAAGATGATACATTTGCAGAGAAACTGTTGATTTAAAGTACCTTTAATCTTCATAAATAAGTAAAAAACCAGAAGGTTATACAAAGCTGTCGGGGTGGCACTGATGGATGGCAAATTCGCACGTTTCTCAATTGCCGGTGAAGACACACGCTGCAAGGCTTAACCGTATTGTACATCATATCTGCCAACTCATTTCTGTGATTAAATATTCCATCAGTGCGGGCTATAAGGCGGTAAAGCTTAACAAGATTCATAAGATGCGCCACTTGAATACACATAACTCACTTCCTTGGATAGAGAGCATCCCGCATGCAAAAGAAAATTAGAATTGAGTTAAATTACTCCATAAGACAAGATCAATAGAGAAAAGAAAAGATCCCCTAATGCAATGCAAATCTAAGATATAGTTATGTCCTGACAACTTGAAGCAGACAATTAAAGTCAAATAGGGAGGAACGCAATGTAAATCAACCCTAGAACCTTGAAGATAATGGTAAACAGTAGGACCAGTGACATGATTGTTATAGCTCTGCTTTTTTTTGGAGTGTACACTTCTGAAAAAGAAAACCTCTACTGAGGAAATTGCCTGACAGCTAAAAATGGAGACTCTGAGATGCACAGCAGACACACAACAGGCACTGTGTAAGTAGTGTATTGCTTGGGGACTGTAAAATACTTTATATTTGGAAAACACTACAGATTTTTCTCCCTGAGTAGCCCTTCTAAGACTGTTCTCTAACTTTGAAATGCTCATGCTGTAGTAAATCAGAACAGTCCAAAAATATGGCGTTTTAGGTCACGTAGTAGCTTTAATGTGGTTTTCCAGTGCAGTGTTAGTGAGGTGCTGTTGTAATTCCGAGGCGTAGCCAGTCTCCCTCCCAGCTGCCAACCGTGATCGTGCTGGTGACTGGCTACCTGGCATCCTCCTGGCCTTCCCTCAACAAAGCTGGGAAGTCCTCGAATGACATTTCCCAGAAAACAAAAGTACGATGCTTTTTTTTTTTTAATTTAAAATTTTTGACATTCCACAAAATTCACTTTTACATATAGCGTAATTGATAGGTAATTTTTAAAAAATTGACTTATGTCTGCATATTCTCTTTTTGGTGAATAAAAGGATACTATTTAAGGCGATTTTCCTCCTTGTGAGAAAGAAACATGTAATAAAGTTATAATTTCCATTCAGCTTATCCTTTTGCAGTAAACTATTTATCAAATTCTTGGGCAGGTCTTAATGAGGGAACTTCTAAGCAACACTGTGTGATTCATCTCACAAGATCTTCATATAATCTGGGACAAATATTTCACTTGTTTATATATCCATCCAATTTTAAGCCCATTCCATAGTGACCCATAATTTTGCTGTGTTAAGCTAGAGTCTGTTAAATTCCCCCATGCACTCACCCATAGCTGGCAAAATACAGGGTTGCAATTTGGTTTCTTTATGAGGAATACTCTGGTACTTTCTTACCATAAGTTGTTACATTCTTTGTTTCCATGCTTTGCTATAAAACTGTTTTCACCTGGTTATTTATTTATTTTTGCATACTGTTTATTTTATCTGTAATACCTAGCCAGTCTGAAAGCGAAATTCCATGTTGTGCCTTTCAGTTGTTGCAGATTCTTTTTTTTTCCTGTTTTTGTTTTTTGACATGATGAATTTTTGAGCAATCTCTTGCACTCTTGCACTTACCAGAATGTAGAATATTGCTGTATACCTATATTACTATGATAGATCAGTCCTTTAAAGCAGATAACTTGTGACACGGTAAGGCCATTTTAAAAGACTCACATGAGGAAATATTCTTATTTCGTCATAACCAACAAGCAATATTTCAAAAATCGTGAGATCTATATTGGCAGTAAAGAAAGGGAGGACCTAAGACTAGTGAAGGAGAACCATTAGAACGTTTCTTGGAGCCGAGCTCCGTGAGAGGTAATAGAGGTCCCTTTCTCCTTTCACTTAGGTGACTAATTATGTATTACTTTTCCTGAATAGTCATGAAATGCTGCAAGTTTCTCAGAAGCTAGTTTCGAGAGTCATCCTCCGTAGCTGGTAGTTGCATTCACTTCATAAATAGTCTTGCTCCAGTGAGGATTATTGTGGGCACCAGCATTCTTGGGCAGTTGTTACCATTCCAAGGTGGCTTGGAAAATTTTCCTCATCAGTAAAAATGAAACAAAGAGGAAGAGCTTGTGCTTTTGATGGTTTTATTTGCCCTCGGAGAAGTTTTAGATGCCTGGGGCTTTTCAGCATGCTGTGGATTTGGAAACTAGAGGGATCCTCCAGGAAGCAGAATTTGTAACAAACTTCCTTTCACAAGTTTGTTTGAAACTTTGAAATATGTTATATATAATTAAGAAGTGAAGAAATACCAAAGTACTATATATATGTATGTGTGTGTATATATATATAAAAACATGCACTTAAATAAGAGGAATCCAGGGGAAGAGAGGATTCCTGTGTGTTTGCTAACACTAATTCTCTTTGCTCATGTCTTAAAGCATCTATTTCTGGAGTGTAAGAGCACCTGGGAATCATTTCATCTTTCTAGTGTTTCTCTTTGAATTTAAATGACTCTTGCATAAGCTCAGCAAATACCCTAGAAACACTTCTCGCTGAAAGTGTTTGGAGTTTTTCAAGCTGAATTATGCTTGCACAGCAATTCTAATCCTAGGGTAAAAGTTCACTGTACCATATCTGTAAAGCATAATTCTGGTGAAAATTGGCTGGCTGTCCCTATATAGACTAATTAATTTTACAGTTTGATAACATAACTTATATAGCTGTTGACGAAGCAGACTTTCGTAAATAAATGTATTGTCAACAGTTAGCTGAACATTTTTTTTCTAGCTCCAGAAAAATAATTATTGTCTAATATTCCATCTGTTACATATTGATGGTCCTTTTCAAATCATAAAACAAAGCTCTGACTGTTGTTTCAAATATCATACTGTTAAAGTACCATCATACAAATGGTGACG